GCTGATGCTGGGTGGCTGAGCAGGTGTTGTATGTGTGTAACAAGACTGCTTGTACTCCAGGCTGATGCTGGGTGGCTGTTGGCAGGTGTTGTATTTGTGTAACAAGACTGCTTGTACTCCAGGCTGATGCTGGGTGGCTGGGCAGGTGTTGTATGTGTGTAACAAGACTGCTTGTACTCCAGGCTGATGCTGGGTGGCTGGGCAGGTGTTGTATGTGTGTAACAAGACTGCTTGTATTCCAGGCTGATGCTGGGTGGCTGAGCAGGTGTTGTATTTGTGTAACAAGACTGCTTGTACTCCAGACTGATGCTAAGTGGCTGGGCAGGTGTTGTATTTGTGTAACAAGACTGCTTGTACTCCAGGCTGATGCTGGGTGGCTGAGCAGGTGTTGTATTTGTGTAACAAGACTGCTTGTACTCCAGACTGATGCTAAGTGGCTGGGCAGGTGTTGTATGTGTGTAACAAGACTGCTTGTACTCCAGACTGATGCTGGGTGGCTGGGCAGGTGTTGTATTTGTGTAACAAGACTGCTTGTTCTCCAGACTGATGCTGGGTGGCTGAGCAGGTGTTGTATTTGTGTAACAAGACTGCTTGTACTCCAGACTGATGGTAAGTGGCTGGGCAGGTGTTGTATTTGTGTAACAAGACTGCTTGTACTCCAGACTGATGCTAAGTGGCTGGGCAGGTGTTGTATTTGTGTAACAAGACTGCTTGTACTCCAGGCTGATGCTGGGTGGCTGAGCAGGTGTTGTATTTGTGTAACAAGACTGCTTGTACTCCAGACTGATGCTGGGTGGCTGGGCAGGTGTTGTATTTGTGTAACAAGACTGCTTGTACTCCAGACCAGGCTGATGCTGCTTGGTGGCTGAGCAGGTGTTGTATTTGTGTAACAAGACTGCTTGTACTCCAGACTGATCGTAAGTGGCTGGGCAGGTGTTGTATGGTGTTGTACCCAGGCTGTCTGGAACAAGACTGCTTGTACTCCAGACTGATGTACTCCAGACTGATGCTAAGTGGCTGGGCAGGTGTTGTATGTGTGTAACAAGACTGCTTGTACTCCAGGCTGATGCTTGGTGGCTGGGCAGGTGTTGTATTTGTGTAACAAGACTGCTTGTACTCCAGACTGATGCTAATGGCTGGCTTGTACTGGCATCATTGTCGGAATGTGTGTAGTTGACACAGCAATATCCAACTGTTTTGCTAGTGAACATATTCTTGTAACCGTGACACATTCGTTGAGGGTTAGTGGTATGCTGCAACCACTGAATTTAGTTGTAGATACTTGTTGGCCATGGCATTTGTTCACTTGGTTTGTCAAAAGTGATACAAGAGAGAGATTAACGATGACATTTTGTTGAATATGTTTAATGCGAGACTGTTACTAAAGCATCCTGCTTCACAGCTTTATTTGAGTGATGTTTCCACCATGGCATCTTGTTCAACAGGTTTGCAGACCGGTTTCAACGTCGACTGCGCCTCATCCTCGTACTGCTTGATGTTCTGGCATTGCTGAGCTTTCTGTGGATGATTCTCCTGATCCTTAACATCATCCCCAGGACAAAAGGCAGGCAATATTTTCATTATCGTCCGAGTTCCAGGGAAATAATGATGTATAGAATGTACTGTTTATAATAATATTTTCATAAAATGCATACAGCAACGATGGGCCAGATATCCAGGATAGCGGAACCCAACACTACAGGCTTCTGCATGACCAGCGTGGCAGGAGGGCTGTGTTCCTGGCAGTGGTGGGCGAGCGATCTAAGACGCGAAGCTAGTGATCCAGCAATCTGTAGGTGCCCGGTTCGAGCCCACCTGTGACCGGGTGTGAAATCCTTGGTGTCAGCTTTGTGTGCAGACTCTTTCAGTGTTGTCACAACCCCTAGTGTACAGTACACAACCCTGTACATCTAACAGAACCCTCGAATCCGTTGGCAAATGACCAGATTGTGGCCACATGAATACGTGCGAACACCTAGTTGCGGGTACAGCAACGTGCAGTAAACTTGGACAAAGTACTGTAACTATGTATCCCATTCCACCCAGCTGTGAATTGGTACCTCTTAAGGATGGATATTCTGGAGTTTGTCTCTAACATGCATCCCGAAGTACTAATAGGCCTAAACTTCCACGCAATGGTCAATACACCCAGCAAGCAAACGAACTCTGCGACAATAGTTTGTACTGTGCGTCCAGGCATGTGATAGGGCGGAACTTTATAGGTTCAATTAAAGAAGTATTCTTTTTGAGAAGTTTTGTTCGACCTTTGCAGAACCAAAGAGGAACACCCCGTACCCATTAGACAACTAAAACAACGTAGTAGTAGAGGTTACAGCTGCCGGGTATGTACATTATCACTGTACTCCTCTACCCATGGTTCCTCGAGGTTACAGCTGCCGAGTATGTACATTATCACTGTACTTCTATACCCATGGTTCCTCGAGGTTACAGCTGCCGGGTATGTACATTATCACTGTACTCCTCTACCCATGGTTCCTCGAGGTTACAGCTGCCGAGTATGTACATTATCACTGTACTCCTCTACCCATGGTTCCTCGAGGTTACAGCTGCCGAGTATGTACATTATCACTGTACTCCTCTACCCATGGTTCCTCGAGGTTTCAGCTGCCGGGTATGTACATTATCACTGTACTCCTCTACCCGTAGTTCCTCGAGGTTACAGCTGCCGAGTATGTACATTATCACTGTACTCCTCTACCCGTGGTTCCTCGAGGTTACAGCTGCCGGGGGCGGTGGGGTAGCCTAGTGGTTAAAGCGTTTTCTCGTCACGCCTAAGACCCGGGTTCGAATCCCCACATGGGTACAATGTGTGAAGCCCATTTCTGGTGTCCCCCGCCGTGATATTGCTGGAATATTGCTAAAAACGGCGTAAAACTAAACTCACTCACTCACTCACTACAGCTGCCGAGTATGTACATTATCACTGTACTCCTCTACCCTTGGTTCCTCGATGTTACAGCTGCCGAGTATGTACATATCACTGTACTTCTATACCCATGGTTCCTCGAGGTTACAGCTGCCGAGTATGTACATTATCACTGTACTCCTCTACCCATGGTTCCTCGAGGTTTCAGCTGCCGGGTATGTACATTATCACTGTACTCCTCTACCCGTGGTTCCTCGAGGTTACAGCTGCCGGGTATGTACATTATCACTGTACTCCTCTACCCCTGGTTCCTCGAGGTTACAGCTGCCGAGTATGTACATTATCACTGTACTCCTCTTCCCTTGGTTCCTCGAGGTTACAGCTGCCGAGTATGTACATTATCACTGTACTCCTCTACCCTTGGTTCCTCGAGGTTACAGCTGCCGAGTATGTACATATCACTGTACTTCTATACCCATGGTTCCTCGAGGTTACAGCTGCCGAGTATGTACATTATCACTACACTCCTCTACCCGTGGTTCCTCGAGGTTACAGCTGCCGGGTATGTACATTATCACTGTACTCCTCTACCCCTGGTTCCTCGAGGTTACAGCTGCCGAGTATGTACATTATCACTGTACTCCTCTTCCCTTGGTTCCTCGAGGTTACAGCTGCCGGGTATGTACATTATCACTGTACTCCTCTACCCTTGGTTCCTCGAGGTTACAGCTGCCGGGTATGTACATTATCACTGTACTCCTCTACCCTTGGTTTCTCGAGGTTACAGCTGACGAGTATGTACATTATCACTGTACTCCTCTACCCGTGGTTCCTCGAGGTTACAGCTGCCGAGTATGTACATTATCACTGTACTCCTCTACCCGTGGTTCCTCGAGGTTACAGCTGCCGGGGGCGGTGGGGTAGCCTAGTTGTTAAAGCGTTGGCTCGTCACGCCTAAGACCCGGGTTCGAATCCCCACATGGGTACAATGTGTGAAGCCCATTTCTGGTGTCCCCCGCCGTGATATTGCTGGAATATTGCTAAAAACGGCGTAAAACTAAACTCACTCACTCACTCACTACAGCTGCCGAGTATGTACATTATCACTGTACTCCTCTACCCTTGGTTCCTCGAGGTTACAGCTGCCGAGTATGTACATATCACTGTACTTCTATACCCATGGTTCCTCGAGGTTACAGCTGCCGAGTATGTACATTATCACTACACTCCTCTACCCGTGGTTCCTCGAGGTTACAGCTTCCGGGTATGTACATTATCACTGTACTCCTCTACCCCTGGTTCCTCGAGGTTACAGCTGCCGAGTATGTACATTATCACTACACTCCTCTACCCGTGGTTCCTCGAGGTTACAGCTGCCGAGTATGTACATTATCACTGTACTCCTCTTCCCTTGGTTCCTCGAGGTTACAGCTGCCGGGTATGTACATTATCACTGTACTCCTCTACCCTTGGTTCCTCGAGGTTACAGCTGCCGGGTATGTACATTATCACTGTACTCCTCTACCCTTGGTTTCTCGAGGTTACAGCTGACGAGTATGTACATTATCACTGTACTCCTCTACCCGTGGTTCCTCGAGGTTACAGCTGCCGAGTATGTACATTATCACTGTACTCCTCTACCCGTGGTTCCTCGAGGTTACAGCTGCCGGGGGCGGTGGGGTAGCCTAGTGGTTAAAGCGTTGGCTCGTCACGCCTAAGACCCGGGTTCGAATCCCCACATGGGTACAATGTGTGAAGCCCATTTCTGGTGTCCCCCGCCGTGATATTGCTGGAATATTGCTAAAAACGGCGTAAAACTAAACTCACTCACTCACTCACTACAGCTGCCGAGTACGTACATTATCACTGTACTCCTCTAGCCATGGTTTCTCGAGGTTACAGCTGCCGGGTATAGACCACAAATCGCTTCATTGGAATCCATGGTGAGACCTGTCTCATCAGTACCGCTGGTTACATTCAGTTTACTTTCTTGTCCCACTTTCATTTTCCTTCAGTCCAAATCTTTGACTTACTGTTGTTATTATAGATGTTGATTGCGTACTGAAACAACGTGGCCTGTGAACATTACCCGTGTGTGTTTCAGAGGAGCTGTATGCAGCTAACATTGTCAAGAGTGTTGTAAATGGAGCGGACAGTCCTTTGTTCTTCGAGCTGGTGTGTGAAGTCTCATACCCCGTGGCTGAGGGCATTACCAACCTAAGTCTTACTGCTTTCAACAATGTCGCATCACTTATTTTCTCGGGGTTCTCTCCATCAGAAATATTGGTGTGTATTGACGAGTCGTGTGTATATTTACCTTATGAAGGTTGCCTTCAGAATCCTGTTTTGTCAGCCCCTTTGAAGTGCTTGTGAACTTAACACGATCATCACTTCGGGTTGTTCTTACATTAAGGTGCCACGCCGGCATGTACTGTTTGACACCATTTGAGTTCCTACGTACGTGCAAACAGGTGCACTCTATGACAATCGTCTGTTACCTCCAGTGCATGATGTACATTTTCCGGTGTGACGTACCACCTACGTCCATACCTGATCACTCACTCACTCTGCTGTGGCGTTAAGTCATGCTAACTCACTCACTCACTCTGTTGTGGCGTTAAGTCAAGCTAACTCACTCACTCACTCTGTTGTGGCGTTAAGTCAAGCTAACTCCCACTCACTCTGTTTAGGCACCGTCTGGATGAACTGGTTCCTGATTGCTGCGTTCTCAGTCTCCATCCTGCTGCTGATGCTGTTGGGGGAGGGTAAGAAACGGTCTGATGTTGACGTGGATGAAGTTCAAGGTGATGAGGAGAATCTTTAAGAGGAGTGTATGACCACAGACAGACCGGGTTCATTACTGTGCGATGCTGATGCTGATCTGGAGCAGCGCTTTCCGACATGATGGACATTGACAGAGAACATCAACAATTTCTACCTGTCTGGTTCGTTCAGGATAGTGGGATGCAGAGCGTTGTTTGTATCTGCCTGATTCGTGATGTATTGTGTAATGTCAAAATGCCATATATGTAGTGGGCATCCCTTAGATGAACATCTTCCATATACATGAAGGGACAAATCCCTTAGATACCCATATTGCAAATACATAAAGAGCCACATCCCTTAGATCCCCATGTTACACATACATAAAGAGAGTCCACACCCCTTCGATCCCCATGTTACACATCCATAAAGAGTCACACCCCTTAGATCCCCATGTTACACATCCATAAAGAGTCACACCCCTTAGATCCCCATGTTACACATCCATAAAGAGTCACATCCCTTAGATCCCATGTTGACATTTCACTACCTCTTGTTTACCGCGTGAAGCCCATTTCTGGTGTCCCCCGCCGTTATGTTGATGGAATATTGCTAAAAGCGGCGTAAAACCAAACCCAGTCAGTCAGTCAGTTGTTTACCGCACCAGAATAAACCCTTGTAGACCTAGAGACGGACTTATGTTTTGAATGGATGTCATAGCCCCCCTAGCATCAACATCTCAGGCAGATACACGTATATTCTGTCATCACATGTCTACTGGGGTCATCAACCCGAGGAAGACAAAACCGTCACTCCGAGAAGTTTATTTGCCACTTTCAGGAGAATCACCTGATCCACCACAGAATCAAATTAAGTGAAACTTAGGCCCCTACTGAATCATGTGCTTAGTTACACTGTGAAGACGATGTTGCCTCGTCGACAAGCTGTGATTCGCGTGGGAATACTCAGCGAGTCTTCTGATCAACTTCGGTCCTACTGTGAACAGCGGGCAGAGTGACGAGGAGAATGAAAGCCAACACATAGGCGGCGATGAGCAACCAGTTCATCCACACAGTGCCTGGGTTGGAAATAAAAAGGACATGTTAGTGACAGTGACAAAGGATGTGTTAGTGACAGACGCAGGGAACTGAGAGAACGAGAGTCCTCTATACCGGACAATGATAGCACGAGCATCTACGATATACAGGGCACTGAGAGAACGAGAGTCCTCTATACCGGACAATGATAGCACGAGCATCTACGATATACAGGGCACTGAGAGAACGAGAGTCCTCTATACCGGACAATGATAGCACGAGCATCTACGATATACAGGGCACTGAGAGAACGAGAGTCCTCTATACCGGACAATGATAGCACGAGCATCTACGATATACAGGGCACTGAGAGAACGAGAGTCCTCTATACCGGACAATGATAGCACGAGTATCTCCAATATACAGGGCACTGAGAGAACGAGTTTCCTCTACACTGGACACTGATAGTTCAAGTATAACCTATATACAATGCACTGAGAGGACAAGTGTCTCACCTATACCGGGTATTGACAAAACGGCAAGAAAGATCAGAGCAGCAATGTTGTTTTGCGTGGTCAGGCAGAGATTCGTGGTCCCTTCAGCCACAGGGTAGGATGTGTCACAGGCTGTCTCGTAGAAAAGGGGTCCAACACAAGCGCTCGAAAGGTCCACAAACCCATAGGACACATACATGGAGACTGAAAGAAATACAGACACACTTTAACGTAGCCCTCTCATGCCTGACCAGCATGTGTAGTTACCGTACACTTTCTATAGCCCCACAGATGACAAGATGCATGACGTAAAATACATTGTCAGCTGTAATACAGACACAAAGCTGAACAACACAGATGACAAGATGCATGACGTAAAATACATTGTCAGCTGTAATACAGAGTCACAAAGATGAACAACACAGATGACAAGATGCATGACGTAAAATACATTGTCAGCTGTAATACAGACACACAAAGCTGAACAACACAGATGACAAGATGCATGACGTAAAATACATTGTCAGACATACAAAGCTGAACAACACAGATGACAAGATGCATGACGTAAAATACATTGTCAACTGTAATACAGACACACAAAGCTGAACAACACAAATGACAAGATGCATGACGTAAAATACATTGTCAGACATACAAAGCTGAGCAACACAGATGACAAGATGCATGACGTAAAATACATTGTCAGCTGTAATACAGACACACAAAGCTGAACAACACAGATGACAAGATGCATGACGTAAAATACATTGTCAGACATACAAAGCTGAGCAACACAGATGACAAGATGCATGACGTAAAATACATTGTCAGCTGTAATACAGACACGCACAGCTGAACAACACAAATGACAAGATGCATGACGTAAAATACATTGTCAGCTGTAATACAGAGTCATAAAGATGAACAACACAGATGACAAGATGCATGACATAAAAATACATTGTCAGCTATAATACAGACACACAAAGCTGAACAACACAGATGACAAGATGCATGACGTAAAATACATTGTCAGACATACAAAGCTGAACAACACAGATGACAAGATGCATGACGTAAAATACATTGTCAGCTGTAATACAGACACAAAGCTGAACAACACAGATGACAAGATGCATGACGTAAAAAACATTGTCAGACATACAAAGCTGAACAACACAGATGACAAGATACATGACGTAAAATACATTGTCAGCTCTAATACAGACACGCACAGCTGAACAACACAGATGACAAGATGCATGACGTAAAATACATTGTCAGCTGTAATACAGACACACAAAGCTAAACAACACAGATGACAAGATGCATGACGTAAAATACATTGTCAGACATACAAAGCTGAACAACACAGATGACAAGATACATGACGTAAAATACATTGTCAGCTGTAATACAGACACACAAAGCTGAACAACACAGATGACAAGATGCATGACGTAAAATACATTGTCAGCTGTAATACAGACACACAAAGCTGAACAACACAGATGACAAGATGCATGACGTAAAATACATTGTCAGCTGTAATACAGACACACAAAGCTGAACAACACAGATGACAAGATGCATGACGTAAAATACATTGTCAGACATACAAAGCTGAACAACACAGATGACAAGATACATGACGTAAAATACATTGTCAGCTGTAATACAGACACACAAAGCTGAACAACACAGATGACAAGATGCATGACGTAAAATACATTGTCAGCTGTAATACAGACACACAAAGCTGAACAACACAGATGACAAGATGCATGACGTAAAATACATTGTCAGCTGTAATACAGACACACAAAGCTGAACAACACAGATGACAAGATACATGACGTAAAATACATTGTCAGCTGTAATACAGACACACAAAGCTGAACAACACAGATGACAAGATGCATGACGTAAAATACTTTGTCAGCTGTAATACAGACACACAAAGCTGAACAACACAGATGACAAGATGCATGACGTAAAATACATTGTCAGCTGTAATACAGACACACAAAGCTGAACAACACAGATGACAAGATGCATGACGTAAAATACATTGTCAGCTGTAATACAGACCTGCAAAAGCTGAACAACACAGATGACAAGATGCATGACGTAAAATACATTGTCAGCTGTAATACAGACACACAAAGCTGAACAACACAGATGACAAGATGCATGACGTAAAATACATTGTCAGCTGTAATACAGACACGCACAGCTGAACAACACAGATGACAAGATGCATGACGTAAAATACATTGTCAGCTGTAATACAGAGTCATAAAGATGAACAACACAGATGACAAGATGCATGACGTAAAATACATTGTCAGCTATAATACAGACACACAAAGCTGAACAACACAGATGACAAGATGCATGACGTAAAATACATTGTCAGACATACAAAGCTGAACAACACAGATGACAAGATGCATGACGTAAAATACATTGTCAGCTGTAATACAGACACACAAAGCTGAACAACACAGATGACAAGATGCATGACGTAAAAAACATTGTCAGACATACAAAGCTGAACAAAACAGATGACAAGATACATGACGTAAAATACATTGTCAGCTCTAATACAGACACGCACAGCTGAACAACACAGATGACAAGATGCATGACGTAAAATACATTGTCAGCTGTAATACAGACACACAAAGCTGAACAACACAGATGACAAGATGCATGACGTAAAATACATTGTCAGACATACAAAGCTGAACAACACAGATGACAAGATACATGACGTAAAATACATTGTCAGCTGTAATACAGCACGCACAGCTGAACAACACAAATGACAAGATGCATGACGTAAAATACATTTGTCAGCTGTAATACAGACACACAAAGCTGAACAACACAGATGACAAGATGCATGACGTAAAAATACATTTGTCAGCTGTAATACAGGCTTTACACAAAGCTGAACAACACAGATGACAAGATGCATGACGTAAAATACGTTGTCAGACATACAAAGCTGAACAACACAGATGACAAGATACATGACGTAAAATACATTGTCAGCTGTAATACAGACACACCACAAAGCTGAACAACACAGATGACAAGATGCATAACGTAAAATACATTGTCAGCTGTAATACAGACTTTACACAAAGCTGAACAACACAGATGACAAGATTCATGACGTAAAATACATTGTCAGACATACAAAGCTGAACAACACAGATGACAAGATACAAGACGTAAAATACATTGTCAGCTGTAATACAGACACGCACAGCTGAACAACACAGATGACAAGATGCATGACGTAAAATACTTTGTCAGCTGTAATACAGACACACAAAGCTGAACAACACAGATGACAAGATGCATGACGTAAAATACATTGTCAGACATACAAAGCTGAACAACACAGATGACAAGATGCATGACGTAAAATACATTGTCAGCTGTAATACAGACACACAAAGCTGAACAACACAGATGACAAGATGCATGACGTAAAATACATTGTCAGCTGTAATACAGACACACAAAGCTGAACAACACAGATGACAAGATGCATGACGTAAAATACATTGTCAGATGTAATACAGACACACAAAGCTGAACAACACATGTAGACGATACAAGCACCCACAAATATTGGAAAAGATATTCGGACACAAAAATGGCTCATGCACAACCACCGTTATACGCACAGACATTAACAACACATAGACATGAACGCACGCACATTAAACACGTGCAGACATTAAACACATGCAGATATCTAAACACATGCAAACGTTAAACGCACATATACATTACACACATGCAGACACTAAAGCCATGCAGACATTAAACACATACAGACATTACACGCACAGACATTACACGCACAGACATTAATCACGTGCAGACATTAAACACACATAGACATAATCGAGCCATTAAAAACATAGAGACATCAAAATCCATCTTAACCTATGCAGACATCAAACACACACAGACTCTAAACACACACATACATTAAACACAACCAGACACTAAACACACACAGACATTAAACACACACAGACACTAAACACACACAGACATTAAACACACACAGACACTAAACACACACAGACATTAAACACACACAGACACTAAACACACACAGACACTAAACACAGAAAGACATTAAAGACACAGACTCTAAACACACACAGACATTAATCATGTGCAGACATTAAACACACACAGACATTCAACACACGCAGACATTAAAGACACACAGACTCTAAACACGCACAGACATTAAACACACACAGACACTAAACACACAGACATTAAACACACGCAGACATTGAACACACACAGACACTAAACACACAGAGACATTAAAGACACACAGACTCTAAACACACAGACATTGAACACGTGCAGACATTAAACACACAGAGACATTAAACAAACACAGACATTAAACACAAACACACACACTAAACATGTGCAGACACTAAAAACACAGCCATAACAGACACACAAACTCTAAACACACAAGGACATTAAACACTTGCAGAAATTAAACACACAGGGACATTAAACACACAGGGACATTAAACACACAGACACTAAACACAGACATTAAAGACACAGAGACTTAAAAACGTGCAGACATTAAACACACACAGACATTAAACACACACACTCACTAAACACACAGACATTAAACACACACAGACGCTAAATACAGACAGACATTACACACACACACACTAAACACTCACAAACATTAAACACAAACAGACATAAAAGACGTGCAGACACTAAACACACACAGACACTAAACACACACAGACATTAAAGACACACATGCACTAAACACACTCTGGCATTAAACACACACAGACATTGAACACATACAGACTTTATACGCACACAGACACTAAACACATGCAGATATCAAACACACACACAGTTAACACACACAGAGATTAAACACAAACACACTAAACACACACAGACATGAAACACACAGAAACACTAAAAACACACAGATATTATACACCCAGAGACATTAAACACACACAGACATTAAACACACACACATTAAACATACACAGACATTTAACACACAGACATTAGACACACACAGACATTAAACACACAGAGACATTAAACGCACACAGACAGACACTAAACTCACACAGATATTAAACACGTGCAGCCTTTAAACACACACAGACACTAAACACAAAGAGACGTTAAACACACAGACACTAAACACACACAGACATTAAACACACACACATTAAACACACACAGACACTAGAGACACACATACACTAAACACACACAGACATTAAACACACAGAGACATTAAAGACACACACAGACATTAAACACATAGAGACATTAAAGATACACACACATTAAAGACACACAGACACTAAACACACACAGACATTACACACACTAAACACACACAGATTAACACACACACAGACTAAACACACAAAACATTAAACACACAGAGAGACATTAAACACACACAGACAGTAACACACACACAGGTAGACAGACACTGAACACACACAGACATTAAACACACACATACACTAAACACAAAGAGACGTTAAACCCATGCAGACATCTAATTAATATAGAAAAAAAACCTTTCCACATCCATACGAAAAGTCTGCTAAAAGCAGAGTCTATTTCACAAATGTGACCCTATCTCTATAAACTAGTGATGACCACAAACGGTGAGCGTATCCTGCTCCGCCTATGGCACACATGCAATCTCACATGTACAACCATGGGAACACTTGACGTAGTACAGGGGTGTTTTAGGGCATTCATGTGCGTCAGCATGACAATTTGTCTCTACTGTGATAGTCATAATTTTGTATCCACGAAGTTGGAAAACCTACCCGTTGACGGTGGCAGTATCCCAACTATCAGGAGTACCAGCCACAGACGGGAGACAATGGACAACCCATACTGCACGCACAGGAACAACTTGTGGCGGGTCTTCATGTAATCGGCAGCCCTGACATACAACCACAGTGAGTGAGTGAGTGAAACATCTCCTCTTGGATCACATCATAATGTTGAGGGAACTGATGTCTACTCCCCAGAGGCTGCACATGGCAAAGATGAAACACGCCGTGTTGCCATCAACCAAGGTACAATCACGGGGGCAGTTAAGATGCTTTCATCATCGAAAATATGTAACTGTACATTGCATAAAATTGCATTTAACAAAAGCTATTTGAAAATAACCCAAAATATACATATGCACAATGCACTCACTCTTTGCACGCTTTTTGACACCTGAAGTTCACACACCTGATATTGAAAATTGAAGAACTGTTGATTATTTTCTAACCACTGAATGTTGTAAAAAACACGTAAATTTCAAGCTAATTTTCGCGTACGTCATGCCGTGGTTTACAGAAAATCAGCGTCTTCGAGCCGTCGGTATGTTCGAGACTGGAATGGCCAAAAGTGGTCAGATATTTTGGTGTCCATCGAAACACGATCTCATCTCTATGGAGACGTTTTCAACATACTGGGAACACGTGAGATGTGCCTCGGACCTCGTGGCAGTCCACGTGTGAGGTCACTTCAGAAAAGACAACATCCTGCCCCGACGGCCTGCAATACATCCCAATCATGGTCCAACGTCACCGACAGGCACGTCTTGCCTGGTGCAGACAGCATCTACGATGCATGAGACAACATTGGAATGGTGTTTTGTTCACTGACGAGTCGAGATTTCATCCGGTCAGCTCAGGTGGCAGGGTAAGGGTGTACAGATGGCGAGGTGAACGGTATGCTAACTCGTGCGTTGTTCTACCGCGACAGTTTGGTCGCGACAGGGGTATGGTATGGGGGAGCATCACATCTCATTGTTGGACACAACTTCTCATTGTCAATGGCAAGTCTGACAGGTCTGTGATACTGGGTTGAGATTATTGAGCCTCATGTGCAGCCGGTCATTCAAGGGCAGAGTCGTAACTTCACTCTTCAGCAAGATAATGACCGTCCACATGTCGCTCCTGTTGAGACAGATTTCCTGAGACAGCAGAACATTCCGGTACTCCCCTGGCCAGCTGTGTCTGCGGGCCTGTCCCCTCTCGAGCACGCGCTTGGGATGAAATGAAGCTACGTTTACGTCAAGCGCAGAATCAGCCATTGCGCGTTAGCTGAATTGGGACAAACGTTGGTTCAGACATTGGAACATTCCCCAAGCTTTCTTCAATCACTTAGTGTCGTCTGCGCATGCGATCCTGAATATATGAACTGACTTTTGGCACCACATCTCTGCAAGGGCGTGTCACGATGCTTAGTGTCAAATCATACACATTTCGATATTATCCTGTCAAAGGTAAACAGTGATTACAGAAAACACCACAAATCGTGTTATGATGTTTTCTGCAGTAAAACATGTCATGACATCAACTATTGCACACTTACTTTATTCCAGTCGTATACATTATCCAATGGAATGATATCCTTCCAGAATGAAAAATGAGTGAATAAACACAATCAAAGTAACTAATTTAAACTAGTGCTGAAAAGAAACTATACACCGCAAAATATTACATGAAACTTCACCAACATAAAAATGAAGCGATATAATCATATTGAGCCATGTTACATACGCACAGACCCATTGGACCACATCCTTTCCGGGATCAAACGGCGAAACAAGTTAACGAATAGCCAGAACGTCGTAAAAAAACCAAAACGACTTTTCTGATGTAACACAAAATGCACGTGCATACTGACGGTATAAAACAGCCTACGCGACACGTGAGAAACACAGTAGTAAAAAACACACACAAAATATGCCACGTTTGAGGCAAATCGAGAGAGAGAGTTGTCGTAATGGCCGAACAATGAGCTAACCACACCGTCATTGCCAGAACCTTCAGCTGCACCCGGTTTATTGTCATCAGACTGATGCAACGACTAAGACAGACAGGCGATACGTCAGACAGGTCTAGGAGTGGTCGACCCTGTGTGACAACGGCCGGTGATGATCGCCACATCCGGACAATTCATCTGAGAAATCGTTTTGTAACGGCGACGTCAGCGACAGCGACGGCACTAGGACACCACGTATCAGTCGACATACAGTGTGCCACCGACTAAGAGAACGTGGTATTCGTTCACGTAGACCCTACCGGGGAGTGCATCTGATTCTTCAAAACCCATGTCGTCTACTGACATGTATATATTGTAATATGATCTCTCAAGTCACATTTGTATTTTTAGTCCTTAATATATCTGTAGAAGTGGAAACAGCCTAGTGTTATATCTGAATAAAATGCATGGTACTGTTCAGAAAAAGTGTCTTTGTTGTTTACCCACAGATCACTCGGAGTTTCTACCAGTTGAAGACGATTGCAGCTTCTACTAGTAGGATTGGAGTTTCTACCAGTTGAATTGGAAAATGTACTGGTAGAATCTCCGATTCAACCAGTCGAGACTACGATTACAATCTCTAGTAGTAGGATCGGAGATTCTACCAGTAGAGACTCCGATCGCAATCTCTACTGGTAGAGTCTCCGATAGCAATCTCTACTGATCGCAGTCTCTACCCTGACATATATATGCTTTTCTTTTCTTTTCAAGTTTGGTCAAACGCACTGTATATATTCATTTGAGCACTAGTTTCAGTACATCATTTATAAAAACAAGAGGTTAGGCCGTGCTCTGGGTGGTTAGAGGTCTGCATACCTAGCTAGAGGCCTGCCTATCTGGCTAGAGGTCTGCCTACCTGGCTAGAGGTCTGCCTATCTGGCTAGAGGTCTGCCTATCTGGCTAGAGGTCTTCCAATCTGGCTAGAGGTCTGCCTACCTGGCTAGAGGTCTGCCTATCTGGCTAGAGGTCTGCCTATCTGGCAAGAGGTCTGCCTATCTGGCTAGAAGTCTGCCTACCTGGCAAGAGGTCTTCCAATCTGGCTAGAGGTCTGCCTACCTGGCTTGAGGTCTGCCTATCTGGCTAGAGGTCTGCCTATCTGGCTAGAGGTCTGCCTACCTGGCTAGAGGTCTGCCTATCTGGCTAGAGGTCTGCCTATCTGGCTAGAGGTCTGCCTATCTGGCTAGAGGTCTGCCTATCTGGCTAGAAGTCTGCCTACCTGGCAAGAGGTCTGCCTATCTGGCTAGAGGTCTGCCTATCTGGCCAGTGGTCTGCCTACCTTGCTAGAGGTCTGCCTATCTGGCTAGAGGTTTATAAAAACAAGAGGTTAGGCCGTGCTCTAGGTTAGAGGTCTGCCTGTCTGCTACCTGGGAGTCTGCTTACCTGGTCTGCCTATCTGGCTAGAGGTCTGCCTACCTGGCTAGAGGTCTGCCTACCTGGCTAGAGGTCTGCCTATCTGGCTAGAGTTCTACCTACCTGGCTAGAGGTCTGCCTACCTGGCTAGAGGTCTGCCTACGTCTGCCTACCTGGCTAGAGGTCTGCCTATCTGGCTAGAGGTCTGCCTACCTGGCTAGAGTGAGAGATATGACGATGGTCCCCGCTGTGGCGTACACTCCCAGGTAGCTGGCGTCTTCCTAACATAAAAATGCACGGTACACATCACTGGCGAAAATATCTCAAACGTCCACGAGTACCTTTAATTTGGCTTAATGACGTCGATAATTAAATAAGTTCATGTATCTTCAGGTCGAAAATAGATGTTCAGACACAAATCTATGTGCCTCCGTGTTGACAACGAAAAAAGATCAAATACCTGTAATAGTCCACGTGCGTCCACATTGAAAATGAAAACAGCTGATAAGATACCTGTGATGATCTCTTGCCTTTCAGTTGCTCTCAACCTTACATCGAGCATACAGTACAACCAGAAATTATTGAGAATTTAAAGATTGTAATTTTTAAATAAAAATTCACTCATTACTCACGTATTAAATGTGAATATTAGCAGAACACAACTCCAGATTCAAAGACTGGTGAACAGGTAGTATTTTGTCAAGTAACCATGGGCAGCAATGCAGGCTTCAATGCGGCGGGGCATACTACTGATCAGAGAACCTAGAAAGTCGTGGTCCATGCTGTCCCAATATCGGACCACCTCTTCTTTCATTTCAGCAATATTTGTCAGATTTTTCTTATTGACACTTTCCTTCATAAGTCCCTAAACATTTTCTATTGGATTTAGGTCAGGGCTATAGCTTTGACAATGTAATAATGTCATGTTTTGGGTCCGAAACCAGGCCTGTGAATGCTCTGAACGATGTTTTGAGTCGTTGTCCTGCTGGAAAATTCAAACATTTCGTAAGAACACGTGAGCAGACGGAAGTAAATGTCCCTCGAGAATATCTGTGTACCGCTCACTGTTCATATTCCCTTCAAATACACAGAGGGGCGTTGCCCCTAACACAGATATGCCGCCCCAAACGTTAAATTTCGGACTGTACTTTGGGCGCTGATACAAAGGTTTTTCAGTTTGTTTGGTCCAGAATCTCAGTGTATTAGGAAACGGCCACATAGAATTTTCATCTGAGAAAATCACATTGTCCCAGTTAAAATTTCTATGCTGTCAGCACCAGTTCAACATTCCATCCTTTTGTACAGGTTTCATGATCGGTGATGGAATTCCTCGACTTTTCTGCCAACCCTTTGCATGCAGCTCAGTTTTGATTGTCTCCTTACATACAGCCACAGTTCCTCTATCAATCATATCCAGCCTTAAGTTTTCTAAACTCCTTTGTTTGTTTTTAGAAACAAGAGTACCAAGCCGCCTCCTGTCTCCGACAATCAATTTTCGGGGCCTACCTGCGCCTGACTGCTGCTCAGTGTCATATCCATTTGCAATATTTTTCAAAGCACGATAAACAGTTGACAAAGGGATGCCTGTTCTACTTGAAATCGCTTTAGCTGATCTGATGTCCTTGTTATAATACTCTTAAATCAACTTCCTCTTCTCTAAATCATCCTTACTGAGGATCACTGAAAATGTCGTCTGCTAGCAAGTAAACAAATGGGGGTAACTCTTCACAGACTAATGAGAAAGGATTAACGGAGTTGTGTCTGTTGACTGAAACCAAGCACTTGATAGCTGGTCAAGGTTGTTTATACTACAAATCCAATTAAACATATTCCTATAATCCTCAATAAGTTCTGGTCATACAAAATATGATCAGACACACGTACCTGTGATATTCTATGTCCTCTTGAGTTGACATCGAGCATTGGTGATTCTACACATATACCTGTAATGTTCCATGTACTTTCAAACTGACATCGAGCATTAATGATCCTGCATATATACCTGTAATATTCTTTGTGTTTACACCGAGCACTGATTATTCTACACATATACCTGCGATATTCCATGTGCTTTCAAGTTGACATCGAGCATAGATGACCAAGCATCACGTGTACCCGTTGACACTCCATAGGCTACAGCAATCTGCCAAAATCTTGGATTTCTGAAAACATGTATTTTCTAATCTTTAACTTATGCAAGATTAAACAAGCAGCTTTGCATGTATTATGTATATCCCAGTTCCGTATCGTTCCGTTTTAGTTAGGTGATGTACAAGAAAATGTCGACGTTTAGTAGGAAACAAATAACCACGAAGAGTTGTTACAATCAGTCAAAATGGAAATACAGGAAGCATTACAGAAACGTATGCTCACATTCACCTAAACTCGGAGCACTTCGTTTTGGATGAACATTATGAAAGAAATATTTTTCGACATTTGCATCTGCGATAGGTGCCTATTAATTAATCTATCGTGTCGAATAGCTTTATTTTAGCCAAAAAAAACGCGACATTTTTCGCAGCGAATAGAGAGTAGCCAGACTCGAAACTTTGCTGTCGTAGACGAACCATCATCAGTGTTAACAAACGGTTCCAACAAGCTGGCTAGTCATTTGAGAATCCCCGATGTGGAAGGCTCACAACCACGCAGGAACATGGCACAACAGGACACTACACCTACACGATAAGTTCCTTACGCTGACGTCACCATCACCAACAGCGTTAGGTCATAGTAGCATGATCTCAGTGAGAACTGTTAGGCTATGCGACTACTGTTTAACGATATTAGTCCCTAGCTCCCAGACATGCCGCCTGTGGAACACGTACAGTGTCTTGTTGACAGACATGCCGCCTGTAGAACACGTACAGTGTCTTGTTGACAGGCACACCGCCTGTGGAACACGTACAGTGTCTTGTTGACAGGCACACCGCCTGTGGAACACGTACAGTGTCTTGTTGACAGGCACATTGCCTGTGGAACACGTACAGTGTCTTGTTGACAGACATGCCGCCTGTGGAACACGTACAGTTGAATTTCTCTAGGAGACAGCGAGTTCTGGCTTAGATCGCTTAAATAGCAGTCGTATATTATAAGTAAAATGCCACCTCTTCTTGACACGAAATGTCAATATGTAAAGCCATATTCAGACACTGCATGTGTTTGCCTGCCACATCACTCACATCCGGTTTTACATGCGATATACACTATTAAATGATAACCAACCAAATGAAGGTATGTTTTTGTTACTTGGAAAAGAAAGACATGGGTGTGTAATGTCCTGTGTACGTCAGTATAGATATTATATGTCCTAAGAGTGGTTGAGTTACGCATCTTACTTGACAAGCAGCCTGAGTCCCTCTCTGTAGTTGGGTCGCGGTATAGCGGCCGACACGCTGGGCGGTTTGGGCGGCGTGTTTGGGAAATAAACCAACATCACCAGAAACAGCAAGGCACATACGCCGAAGGCTGAAGCATACACCATTCACATTCAGTTTCTTTAACATTTAGATGTGATCAAAAGTAACAATGAAACTGCCACATAAGCAATGTTGAGACACAACAGCACTACAACATTATTACAGAAAAGTGTACAACAGAAACGCGACATTACAATAACATCACTACAACAACATCACAACAGCATATAACAGCAACACAACACTATTACAACAGCATGTAAGAACATCACGACATTATACAACAGCATGTAACAGCACCACAACATTACATAACAGCATGTAACAGCACCACAACATTACATAACAGCATGTAACAGCACCACAACATTACATAACAGCATGTAACAGCACCACAACATTACATAACAGCAACAGACACAAAACATGTAACAGCACAGCACCACGACATTATACAACAGCATGTAACAGCACCACAACATTACATAACAGCATGTAACAGCACCACAACATTATACAACAGCATGTAACAGCACCACAACATTACATAACAGCATGTAGCAGCACCACGACATTACACAACAGCATGTAACAGCACCACAACATTACATAACAGCATGTAAAATCACCACAACATTACATAACAGCATGTAGCAGCACCACGACATTATACAAAAGCATGTAACAGCACCACAACATTACATAACAGCATGTAACAGCACCACAACATTATACAACAGCATGTAACAGCACCACAACATTACATAACAGCATGTAAAATCACCACAACATTACATAACAGCACCACAACAGTATTACAACAGTATATAAAGACGGTTGATAGAGGCAGTCGCAATAGCGTTTTTGAAGGGTCAGCTATGTATATCTTTATGTCGAACCCCGAGTGACGAGCCAACATGTTTACCACTATCCCACCTAGCTTCTAGACTAAAGCACATCACGGTGTTTCTACTGCATACAGTGAATGTGAATTTGTAGATACACAGTGAAAACATACAGAACATTTCAAATACTTGTGAGTGGGTTATATTGTTTCTGTTTGTGGTCAAGTAGTGGACAATGGTGTGCATGTTACTACATTTGCACATGGTGTAAAATTGGTCATCTCACATCATCTCACATCATCTCACATCATATCACATCAGACCCGTGAAGATCCGGGGTAGAATAGGTCTTCAGCAACCCATGTGCTTGCCATAACAAGGCGACTATCTTGTCGTAAGAGGCGACTAACGGGATCGGGTGGTCAGTTTCGCTGACTTGGTTGACAACTGTCATCGGTTCCCAATTGCGCAGATCGATGCTCATGCTGTTGATCACTGGATTGTCTGGTCCAGACTCGATTATTTACAAACCGCCGCCATATAGCTGGAATATTGCTGAGTGCGGCGTAAAACTAAACTCACTCACTCACTCACTCACTCACTCATATCACATCATCTCACATCATCGCTCACTACATGACCCATTACAACTCAGACGTCACTACATGGCAGCATCTCATATTATTTATATCACACATATCATATTATATATCAAATCATCTCATATTATATATCACATCAAATCACATTATATATCACATCATCTCACATTGTATATCACATCATACCACATTATATATCACATCATTTCATATTGTATATCACATCATATCACATTATACATCATATCACCTCACATTTTATATCATATCACATTATACGTCACATCATCTCATATTATATATCATATCACATAACATTATACATCACATCATATCACATTATACATCACGTCATCTCACATTTTATATCATATCACATTATACGTCACATCATCTCACATTATATATCACATCATACCACATTATACGTCACATCATCTCACATAATATATCATATATCACATTGTACGTCACATCATCTCACATTCTATATATCACATCATCTCAAACCCGGTGAATCGGTCACTTTTAATTTTGTAGCGGTCCTTAAACTGCCATTTAAGTACGGTTTTGATGATCTCTCAGCCAATCAGAATCGAATATCGATCAATGCCGTGCTAGAATTTCGAATACACTTGTAAATTAGTATTTGTTTCTTCGTGGGTCTCACATCGAGTTCTTTTGCAAACAGATTTCAAATTAACTTATACTTTTTCACCTATAAGACTTCAGGTCACGCTGATAACATAAATTGTTTCTATGTCGCTTTGTGTTTCAGTGGGCCGCAGGTCAATAACGCCGAAAAATCTTGTAGATGTTTCTACCTCAGGGTGGGCCTTAAAAAACGACGGTGGCGATCTCCAACCAATAACAAGTGTATAACATAAAACCAGCTTTACTTACGCTCAGTTGGGCGGCAATGTAGAGTCACTCACAACACCAGGTTCACTTACATCCAGATGGGGGCCACTGTACAGTCACTCACAACACCTGGTTCACTTACATCCAGATGGGGGGCACTGTACAGTCATTCACAACACCAGGTTCACTTACATCCAGCTGCCTGGCACTGTACAGTCACTCACAACACCAGGATCACTTACATCCAGATGGGGGGCACTGTACAGTCACTCACATCACCAGGTTCACTTACATCCAGATGGGGGGCACTGTACAGTCACTCACATCACCAGGTTCACTTACATCCAGATGGGGGGCACTGTACAGTCACTCACAACACCAGGTTCACTTACATCCAGATGGGGGGCACTGGGGGCACTGTACAGTCACTCACAACACCAGGGCACTGTTCACAACACCAGGTTCACTTACATCCAGATGGGGGGCACTGTACAGTCACTCACAACACCAGGTTCACTTACATCCAGATGGGGGGCACTGTACAGTCACTCACATCACCAGGTTCACTTACATCCAGATGGGGGGCACTGTACAGTCACTCACATCACCAGGTTCACTTACATCCAGATGGGGGGCACTGTACAGTCACTCACAACACCAGGTTCACTTACATCCAGCTGGGTGGCACTGTACAGTCACTCACATCACCAGGTTCACTTACATCCAGATGGGGGCACTGCACTGTACAGTCACTCCACATCACCAGGTTCACTTACATCCAGATGGGGGGCACTGTACAGTCATTCACAACACCAGGATCACTTACATCCAGATGGGGGGCACTGTACAGTCACTCACAATACCAGGTTCACTTACATCCAGATGGGGGGCAACGTACAGTCACTCACAACACCAGGTTCACTTACATCCAGCTGGGTGGCACTGTACAGTCACTCACATCACCAGGTTCACTTACATCCAGATGGCGGGCACTGTACAGTCACTCACAACACCTGGTTCACTTACATCCAGCTGGGTGGCACTGTACAGTCATTCACAACACCAGGATCACTTACATCCAGCTGCCTGGCACTGTACAGTCACTCACATCACCAGGTTCACTTACATCCAGATGGCGGGCACTGTACAGTCACTCACAACACCTGGTTCACTTACATCCAGCTGGGTGGCACTGTACAGTCATTCACAACACCAGGATCACTTACATCCAGCTGCCTGGCACTGTACAGTCACTCACATCACCAGGTTCACTTACATCCAGATGGGGGGCACTGTACAGTCACTCACATCACCAGGTTCACTTACATCCAGATGGGGGGCACTGTACAGTCACTCACAATACCAGGTTCACTTACATCCAGCTGGGTGGCACTGTACAGTCACATCACCAGGTTCACTTACATCCAGATGGGGGGCACTGTACAGTCACTCACAATACCAGGTTCACTTACATCCAGATGGGGGGCAATGTACAGTCACTCACATCACCAGGTTCACTTACGTCCAGCTGGGTGGCACTGTACAGTCACTCACAATACCAGGTTCACTTACATCCAGATGGGGGGCAACGTACATACACTCACATCACCAGGTTCACTTACATTCAGCTGCCCGGCAATGTACAGAGACTCACATCACCAGGTTCACTTACATCCAGCTGGGTGGCAATGTACAGTCACGCACAACACCAGGTTCACTTACATCCAGCTGCCCGGCAATGTAGAGTCACTCACATTACCAGGTTAACTTACATCCAGCTGGGTGGCAATGTACAGTCACTCACAACACCAGGTTCACTTACATCCAGCTGGGTGGCAACGTACAGTCACTCACATAACCAGGTTCACTTACATCCAGCTGGATGGCAATGTACAGTCACTCACAACACCAGGTTCACTTACATCCAGCTGGGTGGCAACGTACAGTCACTCACATAACCAGGTTCACTTACATCCAGCTGGGTGGCAATGTACAGTCTCTCACAACACCAGGTTCACTTACTTCCGTAGTTGTAGTACATGATGTTTTGTCTTTGAATTTCTATTACTTCATCTGGAGAAAAAGAGTGCATAGCATACAATGTATAGTATACATGCATATTACAATAGTGGGTAGATATGTTGAGGCTTACATACTTATATCACGGCTACGAATACAAGTGCCGTGTGTTAGTCCACAAAGATCACTTAAACTACCAACCATAAGTCTTTACAGTCATTATGTCGCAATTATTATTCAGCACTAACACAAAATATCAACAGTTAATGATGCCTTATGACTGAATCTCGATATACAAAATATAGCTATGTCAAACATACCCTCGCAAAGCAACGACGCCTGTGTGAAGCTGACATTCCTGAAACACAGCAGTGACACATTTTACACCCGGTTCACTTGGTGGCGACTAGCATTGCATCAATACACCTGGTTCACTTGGTGGCGACTAGCATGGCATCAATACACCTGGTTCACTTGGTGGCGACTAGCATGGCATCAATACACCCGGCTCACTTGGTGGCGACTAGCATGGCATGAATACACCTGGTTCACTTGGTGGCGACTAGCATGGCATGAATACACCTGGTTCACTTGGTGGCGACTAGCATGGCATCAGTCCACCTGGTTCACTTGGTGGCGACTAGCATGGCATCAATACACCTGGTTCACTTGGTGGCGACTAGCATGGCATCAATACACCTGGTTCACTTGGTGGCGACTAGCATGGCATCAATACACCTGGTTCACTTGGTGGCGACTAGCATGGCATCAATACACCTGGTTCACTTGGTGGCGACTAGCATGGCATCAATACACCCGGCTCACTTGGTGGCGACTAGCATGGCATCAATACACCCGGCTCACTTGGTGGCGACTAGCATGGCATCAATACACCCGGCTCACTTGGTGGCGACTAGCATGGCATCAATACACCCGGCTCACTTGGTGGCGACTAGCATGGCATCAATACACCTGGTTCACTTGGTGGCGACTAGCATGGCATCAATACACCTGGTTCACTTGGTGGCGACTAGCATGGCATCAATACACCTGGTTCACTTGGTGGCGACTAGCATGGCATCAATACACCTGGTTCACTTGGTGGCGACTAGCATGGCATCAATACACCCGGCTCACTTGGTGGCGACTAGCATGGCATCAATACACCCGGCTCACTTGGTGGCGACTAGCATGGCATCAATACACCCGGCTCACTTGGTGGCGACTAGCATGGCATCAATACACCTGGTTCACTTGATGGCGACTAGCATGGCATCAGTCCACCTGGTTCACTTGGTGGCGACTAGCATGGCATCAATACACCTGGTTCACTTGGTGGCGACTAGCATGGCATCAATACACCTGGTTCACTTGGTGGCGACTAGCATGGCATCAATACACCTGGTTCACTTGGTGGCGACTAGCATGGCATCAATACACCTGGTTCACTTGGTGGCGACTAGCATGGTATGAGTACGACCCATGTTGTAATTAAGACCAGGAAGTAACGTCAGGTAAACATGTCATTGTTATCAGAGTATAATTTACAGTTACACGTTTTGAGTGATGTTAACGCCCTGCTCAGTATTCAAGCAACAGGAAGGGCTTCCTGTTCTGATACTTGTCTGATCCATACAACCCACTAATGTATATTGCAAACAATTCTCCTGGAGAAATGAGCAAAGCACCCATTAAGCTGGACTGTGGACAAATACCTGGAGATGTTTGTGAAGGTACAGTTGTCTGGCGTCATCTCAGGTACTACTTGGGGTCCTGAAACAGACAAAACATACATTGACGTTTGCGAAGGTGTCAGGTGTCATCTCAGACACGTTGTCTGGCGCGTAGAGTTGTTGAGGCTTGTTGTGTAATAAGTAGGGTTATTGAGGCTTGTTGTCTAATGGGTAGGGTTAGTGAGGCTTGTTGTCTAATGGGTAGCGTTAGTGATGCTTGTTGTCTAATGGGTAGGGTTAGTGAGGCTTATTGTCTAATGGGATGAGTTAGTGAGGCTTGTTTTCTAATGGGTAGGGTTAGTGAGGCTTGTTGTCTAATTGGTAGGGTTAGTGAGGCTTGTTTTCTAATGGGTTGAGTTAGTGAGGCTTGTTTTCTAATGGGTAGGGTTAGTGAGGCTTGTTGTCTAATGGGTTGAGTTAGTGAGGCTTGTTGTCTAATGGGTTGAGTTAGTGAGGCTTGTTGTCTAATGGGTTGAGTTAGTGAGGCTTGTTGTGAGGTGTAGAGTTGTTGAGGCACTCTTACCGATGTAGAAAGCAGCAGTGATACCAAGACCTACGACGACGGCCATGACAGTTGATGCTGTCGTTCTCTGCGTTGCGGGGAACCACACCGACGACACTTTAGGAACGGCCCCCATTGCGATGGGTCCGGCTAACCCGTTCAGTATCTGGCACAGGTGGACTAGCCTTGAGGAAACCGGATATGGAAACATTTATTGAAATAACAAGAAATGAAGGTCGCATTTCGATCAAATTGACATGAGCATCTGCATGTTCTTCGTAACCCCCAACACTAGTCCGGCCGGAATATCCCAGGTCCCTGGAATCAGTGATCCATAAGCCAAGCACTAGTCCGGCCGGAATCTCCCAGGTCCCTGGAATCAGTGATCCATAACCCACGCACTAGTCCGGCCGGAATCTCCCAGGTCCCTGGAATCAGTGATCCATAACCCACGCACTAGTCCGGCCGGAATCTCCCAGGCCCCCGGAATCAGTGATCCATAACCCAGGCACTAGCCCTGCCGGAATCTCCCGGGTCCCTGGAATCAGTGATCCATAACCCACGCACTAGTCCGGCCGGAACCTCCCAGGTCCCTGGAATCAGTGATCCATAACCCACGCACTAGTCCGGCCGGAATCTCCCAGGTCCCTGGAATCAGTGATCCATAACCCACGCACTAGTCCGGCCGGAACCTCCCAGGTCCCTGGAATCAGTGATCCATAACCCACGCACTAGTCCGGCCGGAATCTCCAAGGTCCCTGGAATCAGTGATCCATAACCCAGGCACTACTCCGGCCGGAATCTACCGGGTCCCTGGAATCAGTGATCAATAACTCACGCACCAGTCCGGCCGGAACCTCCCAGGTCCCTGGAATCAGTGATCCATAACCCAGGCACTACTCCGGCCGGAATTTCCCGGGTCCCTGGAATCAGTGATCCATAACCCACGCACTAGTCCGGCCGGAATCTCCCGGGTCCCTGGAATCAGTGAACCATAACTCACGCACTAGTCCGGCCGGAATCCCCCGGGTCCCTGGAATCAGTGATCCATAACCCACGCACCATTCCGGCCGGAACCTCCCGGGTCCCTGGAATCAGTGATCCATAACCCACGCACCAGTCCGACCGGAATCTCCCGGGTCCCTGGAATCAGTGATCCATAACCCACGCACTAGTCCGGCCGGAACCTCCCGGGTCCCTGGAATCAGTGACCCATAACCCACGCACTAGTCCGGCCGGAACCTCCCAGGACCCTGGAATCAGTGATCCATAACCCACGCACTAGTCCGGCCGGAATCTCCCAGGTCCCTGGAATCAGTGATCCATAACCCAGACACCAGTCCGGCCGGAATCTCCTGGAATCAGTGATCCATAACCCAGGTCCCTGGAATCAGTGATCCATAACCCACGCACTAGTCCGGCCGGAACCTCCCGGGTCCCTGGAATCAGTGATCCATAACCCACGCACTAGTCCGGCCGGAACCTAGGTCCCGGAATCAGTGATCCATAACCCACGCACTAAGCCGGTCGGAACCTCCCAGGTCCCTGGAATCAGTGATCCATAACCCACGCACTAGTCCGGCCGGAACCTCCCAGGTCCCTGGAATAACCCAGTGATCCGGCCGGAACCATTCAGGTCCCTGGAATCAGTGATCCATAACCCTCGCACTAGTCCGGCCGGAACCTCCCAGGTCCCTGGAATCAGTGATCCATAACCCACGCACTAGTCCGGCCGGAATCTCCCAGGTCCCTGGAATCAGTGATCCATAACCCACGCACTAGTCCGGCCGGAACCTCCCGGGTCCCTGGAATCAGTGATCCATAACCCACGCACTAGTCCGGCCGGAATCTCCCATGTCCCTGGAATCAGTGATCCAAAAACAGCATTGCAACACTCCTACCCTGTCTTTTCCAGCAGGGAAGAGGGTGGCAAAACCTTTGTCATATAGTGGCAAAACCCCTTTCATATAGTGGCAAAACCCCTGTCATATAGTGGCAAAACCCCTCATATAGTGGCAAAACCCCTTTCATATAGTGGCAAAACCCCTGTCATATAGTGAAAAAAAACCTGTCATGAAGTGGCAAACCCCCTGTCATATAGTGGCAAAACCTCTGTCCTATAGTGGCAAAACCCCTTTGATATAGTAAAAAAAACCCTGTCATATTGTGGCAAAACCCCTTTCATATAGTGGCAAAACCCCTGCCATATAGTGGCAAAACCCCTGTCATATAGTGGCAAAACCCCTTTCATATAGTGAAAAAACCCCTGTCATGAAGTGGCAAAACCCCTGTCATATAGTGGCAAAACCCCTGTCATATAGTGACAAAACCCCTGTCATATAGTGGCAAAACCCCTGTCATATAATGGCAAAACCCCTGTCATATAGTGACAAAACCCCTGTCAAAACCCCTGTCATATAGTGGCAAAACCCCTGTCATATAATGGCAAAACCCCTGTCCTATAAGTGGCAAAACCCCTGTCATATAGTGGCAAAACCCCTGTCATATAGTGGCAAAACCCCTGTCATATAGTGGCAAAACCCCTGTCATATAGTGGCAAAACCCCTGTCATATAGTGGCAAAACCCCTGTCATAAAGTGGCAAAACCCCTGTCATATAGTGGAAAAACCCCTGTCATATAGTGGCAAAACCCCTGTCATATACAGTCCAGTTTACGATTTCGTCTTTATTATGAGCATGTTCTTTCTTTGTTTAAACCACTATCAAATAGTTAAGATATCAAGTTTCACTTAATGCTTAAAATGCACAATGCCTCCATAATGGCGAATGTGCTATTCCCGACTCGTGAGTTGTTAGTGCTGCCTAGTGGAGGAGCTTCGTGATAACGTGTATCTGTAACAAAGGGTGTTCCTTACGCTGTGAAGGCTGGGGGATCCTTGTACACACATCTGAGGCCTGTCCCAAGTGCCACGAGTCCCGCGGCTCCCAGACAAGACACGCGAAGGCCTGCAACAACGTCCACACTCACTTTCATCGGTGGGAGCATTGACGGCTTCATGGAGAAAAGGATGTGTAATCTGATTTCTTGAAATATCTTCAACAACAATTATTATTACGAACAGGTTGTATGTTCAATGTATTATACGGAAGGAATCAAAAGTAATTCCACAGTGTATGTTTTAGATTCTCATGTTCACGTGGATATTAGGCAATTACTGAATCCCACGTGTCGGTACCATGATACCAAAACAATCATATGGTACCATGATACTAAACAATCTTATAGTACCATGATATTAAATAATCCCATAGTACCATGATAGTAAGCAATCTTATAGTACCATGATACTAAACAATCCTATAGTACCATGATACTAAACAATATTATAGTACCATGATACCAAACAATCTTATAGTACCATGATACTAAACAATCCTATAGTACCATGATACTAAACAATATTATAGTACCATGATACCAAACAATCTTATAGTACCATGATACTAAACATTCGTATAGTACCATGATACTAAACAATATTATAGTATCATGATACCAAACAATCTTATAGTACCATGATATTAAACAATCCTATAGTACCATGATACTAAATAACCCTATAGTACCATGATACTAAACAATCCTATAGTACCATGATACTAAACAATCCTATAGTACCATGATACCAAACAATCTTATAGTACCATGATATTAAACAATCCTAAAGTTCCATGTTACTAAATAACCCTATAGTACCATGATACTAAACAATCCTATAGTACCATGATACTAAACAATCTTATAGAACCATGATACTAAACAATCTTATAGTACCATGATACTAAACAATCGTATAGTACCATAATTAACATTCATATAGTACAATGACACTAAGCATTCGTATAGTACCATGATATTAAACAATCGTATAGCACCATGGTACTAAACAATCCTATAGCACCATGGTACTAAGCAATTTTATGGTACCATGATACTAAACAATCTTATAGAACCATGATGCTAAACAATCGTATAGTACCATGATACTAAGCATTCTTATAGGACCATACTTAACAATCATATAGTACCATGATACTAAACAATCCTATAGTACCATGGTACTAAACAAACCAATAGTACCGACACTAAACAATCTTATAGTACCATGATACTAAGCAATCTTATAGTACCATGATGCTAAACAATATTATAGTACCATGATACTAAATAATCCCATAGTACCATGATACTAAACAATCTTATAGTACCATGATACTTAACAATCCTATAGAACCATGGTACTATAGGATTGTTTGGTACCATGATACTAAGCAATTTTATAGTACCATGATGCTAAACAATCGTATAGTACCACAATACGTAGCATTCTTATAGTACCATGATACTAAACAATCGCATAGTACCATGATACCAAAACAATCCTATAGTACCATGATACTAAACAATCGTATAGTACCATGATACTAAACAATCTTATAGAGACATGATACTAAGCAATTTTATAGTACCTATTTTCGTGAAATTCCTTCTTGAAATTTAGGACAACAATTGAATCGAGTTCTTTCAAATTTTGCACATGCATGTGACATGTTAAACAGTGTAAGAAAATATCAAATTATATGCTCAATCTACTAAAATACATAAGAAATTCACGAAAAATGATTGGAGATAGAACACTTGACCAAAGAAAATCGTGATTTTTCTCAAAACCAAAGTGTTCTAAATGTCAGAAACAAAGCTAAAACTCAGCTTTATCTTCACCATGTGGACGTTTCATTGCTGTTTCTTTGTTACCATGTTGTATTTTTGTCGTTTAAACCTGTTTTACTTTCATAAGGAGCATATTTAATTAAGTAAAGCAGAAATAAGAACAGAGTTAAAATGTTCCATTTCCTTGATAAAAATTACTTCCAAATTGGTTAATCTCAATGTCACGTGATCAAATTGTGCTTGCTCATTGGTCAACTGACAACATAGAACACTCGAAAACTAACAACATGTGATTTTTCATGGAGATAGAACAAAGTTTGTGTTTGAAAAAAACACTTTCAAGGCCAGATAGCACTGTAAACAGTTGCAGGAGTAATAGATTATGCTCTAAAACCTACCCCGAACATACTAACTCTAATTTTGTCAAAACTAGACTTAGAACACTCTGGTTTTCAGGCAACTATAATTTATGCTGGACTAAGACGTAGTCACGGTGATGATTGCAACCTTTGCTGTCCAGCAGCCACGACCAGAGGAGAGCCGTGGGGATGTAGGTAATGGGTCCCCAGTTGGCGAACAGGGCTATTGTCCCATCCGTCCATCCGTAGGCTTGTTCAGTAGCAGCAGCTATTGGACCCCACTGTATCCACACGGCGGCCTGGAGGGAGTTCAGCAGGGAAAACACCATCAGGATGTACCAACGCCGCTTATACACGTGCAGATCACGTGCCTCGGGGACACTGGTGACGTCACTGACTTCTGTGGCTGATGACTTGTCCATATCACTGGTTGCCATGGTTGCCAAATTCTTGAATATACAAATTTATGTAGACATCTCTGACTTAGCATAAAGAAAATCTTGCTCTTGATTTGAGTCACATTCGTCAACTGACAGAGAGTCAGACAATGCCCCAAACTGGAAGGGTTATGTATCTATCGTGTATGTCGCGTAATTTGGAAAACACAAAAAACGATTAAAATGCTTCTTAAACCTCTGAAATATTTTATAACAACTTGTAAGCTCGAACATAAAGTTGTATGGAATTGTAGAACACTCTGTAACATGTATGTTACACATATATTGTGTTAACTGATAATGGTGGCTACATACCATCTTCACTCAGTGGCAGCTTTGTTACACACAATGGTCACTTGTGAAAACGTATTCAAACTCGCTGTGTCTCTCACACACAGACAAATATAAGCTGTTCTCGCATAGCGGGATCGCTGACGTGGCTTCAGCCCAGCACACGACGTAGACGCGCCAATGGTCGACACGTACAGGGTAAGGCCTCTGGTTCCTGGAGTTTCCGTCATTTGTGAACACCCAGCGGGTCTGCACACAAACCATCATGTCACGTGCACACAAGGCTGTCATTAAACACGGCCCACAAGACAAAACGTGTTTTCCCTCATACATTCATAAATTCATCGAAAACAATGTTATTTCCCGCTTACAAACCTTAAGTATCAAGTCCCATATAGTCAGCGATTTAACATACTAGTAACCATTGTACAGAGTGACAATGAAACCACGCCTTCGTCACATACGCTGGTTCATATCTGGATGTCTGTTTTAGTTCGTTTCCAAACATCAAACCAAGGGTTCGAATCTCCGATACGTCGTTATTATGTACATAGGTTTATGAGCACCAAACCCGTATTCGTAGTAGATGCTAAAGGCATTGGACTCCCTGAAACTCACCCTGATGTGTTCCTGATAAAGCTGCCTATTGTCTGATGTGTTCATGACACAGCTGCCTATTGTCTGATGTGTTCATGATACAGCTGCCTTGTCTGTTGTATTCCTGATAAAGCTGCCTATTGTCTGATGTGTTCCTGATACAGCTGCCTATTGTCTGATGTGTTATTGTCTTGTCTGTGTTCCTGATAAAGCTGCCTATTGTCTGATTGCTGCCTATTTTCTGATGTGTTCCTGATAAAGCTGCCTATTGCCTGATGTATTCCTGATAAAGCTGCCTATTGCCTGATGTATTCCTGATAAAGCTGCCTATTGTCTGATGTGTTCATGATACAGCTGCCTATTGCCATGTGTATTCCTGATAAAGCTGCCTATTGGTGATGTGTTCCTAATAAAGCTGCCTATTGTCTGATTTGTTCCTAATAAAGCTACCTATTATCTGTTGTGTTACTAATAAAGCTGCCTAGTATCTGTTGTGTTCCTAATAAAGCTGCGTATTGCCATGTGTGTTCCTGATAAAGCTGTATATGTTTGAAACACACCAAACATTGTGACCGGAATGCTTGAAATACACCAAACATTGTGGCCAGGATGTTTGATACACACCAAACATTGTGTCCGGGATGTTTGAAACACACCGGACATTGTGGCCGGGATGTTTGAAATACACCAAACATTGTGGCCAGGATGTTTGATACACACCAAACATTGTGTCCGGGATGTTTGAAACACACCGGACATTGTGGCCGGGATGTTTGAAACACACCAAACATTGTGTCCGGGATGTTTGAAATACACCGGACATTGTGTCCGGGATGTTTGAAACACACCGGACATTGTGTCCGGGATGTTTGAAACACACCAAACATTGTGTCCGGGATGTTTGAAATACACCGGACATTGTGGCCGGGATGTTTGAAATACACCAAACATTGTGGCCAGGATGTTTGAAATACACCGGACATTGTGGCCTGGTTATAAGGATTACATCTGACATCGGGTGGCCGGGTCATCAAGAACAAACTGGACATACGGACAAGAACATTAGCAACACACAAACTGACTCCATTTAGAAATAATCTAGGGTGTGAGGTCGGGTCATTAAGACACATCAGTATCGGATCCTAAAATAGGATCGTAGTCAGGTAGAGCTTATCATATGGACGCTCCAAGCAAACACATACAGATGTAGTCTGACCTCAAAACCAATGTAAACATCGCACAAAGCATGCAGGGGTGCATTTCTCCGTCGTTTGTTCAGACGACCGAAGTATGATATGTCCGTCAACAGTGTAGAATAAGGTGACTAAGCGTCTGTGGCCATTTCTGTGCATATCTGCCTCAACATCGTTAGTGTGGGATACCATGTGAACCCTGTAGGGAGATATCTACAACAAGGATTCACCGTGCTGGTTCCGCTCACCGAGGATCACCGATAGTAGTACCATCCACTACACCTGCACCATCCGCCTGTAGACCGTCAACACCTGCACCATCCGCCTGTAGACCGTCAACACCTGCAACATCCGCCTGTAGACCGTCAACACCTGCACCTGTAGTCTGACACTACCAACAGATCGTAGTCTGCCACCACCTGCACCATCAGATCGTATTCTGCCACCGCCTGTATCAACAGATCGTAGTCTTCCACCGCCTGCACCAACAGATCGTAGTCTGCCACCACCTGTATCAACAGATCGTAGTCTGCCAACACCTGTACCATCAGATCGCAGTCTTCCACAACCTGCACCAACAAATTGTAGTCTGCCACTACCTGGGAGAAACAACCGTTCATAGTATGACGGAGTCTGTCCCCACAGAAACTGAGGCATCTCCCAGCTGCACGGAGGGAGACATCACTAGTGAGCCTAATGACAAAATGGCGAAGGACACAAACCACCTGGAGACGGATGTTCCAGACAGTGTAAGCCATAAGGCTGCAAGGAGGAAGTCGTCAGTGACATTTGATGAGAACGTTACACAGATTCGCTTTGAGAGAGTTGAGCAGTTGGACCTGTTCGTGTACAGAAGGCGATGGGCGATCCTGGCCTTGTTCTCGGCCTTCAGCGCTCTACAGGCCGCAGTGTGGAACCAATGGGGGCCTATTGCGGCGGTTAGTGAATGTGTGTTCGGCTGGACCGACGGAACCATCGCCCTGATGAGCAACTGGGGACCTATAGCCTATATTCTTACAGCTCCACTCTGGTCATGGATACTGGACACTAAAGGTACATTGTTAACCTTGACGTATTGTCAAAATACATTTAACACCAAAGCGTGGTGCATATAGTGTCAGTTGGCCTGTTTGATCTCTAAAAGTTTCGCGAGTTCCCCATGTCGGTGGAAATGTTGTCTCATCTGCATATGGGCGACTTTATACTCATGAGGTTAACGAAGCAAGCAAATAAGCGTGTGAGTAGTGAACGTATAAACTTAGAACAGTAGGAACAGTAAGACCACCGGCACTCCACTGACTCGGTCTCAACTTACTGTTCCAGGGTTGCGGGTGTCGTGTCTGGTCGCCATGGCGTTGATAGCTGTAGGATCCGGTCTACGCTGTCTGATCGGAACTCCTCCTGCCTACACATGGTGAGCAACACGCTAGCATGCACACCGTTCTTCCCTGTCTCATACACAAGCTTTCACACCGCTACCTGGAACACATATTTACACCGGCCATCATTCTTCCCTCTCTCATACACAAGCTTCACACCGCTATCCGGAACACATATTTACCCCGGTCATCATTCTTCCCTGTCTCATACACAAGCTTTCACACCATTACCTGGAACACATATTTACACCGGCCATCATTCTTCCCTCTCTCATACACAAGCTTTCACACCATTACCTGGAACACATATTTACACCGGCCATCATTCTTCCCTCTCTCATACACAAGCTTTCACACCATTACCTGGAACACATATTTACACCGGCCATCATTCTTCCCTCTCTCATACACAAGCTTTCACACCATTACCTGGAACACATATTTACACCGGCCATCATTCTTCCTCTCTCATACACAAGCTTTCACACCATTACCTGGAACACATATTTACACCGGCCATCATTCTTCCCTCTCATACACAAGGTTTCACACCATTACCTGGAACACATATTTACACCGGCCATCATTCTTCCCTCTCTCATACACAATGTTTGACACCGTTACCTGGACACACATATTTACACCGGTCATCATTCTTCCCTCTCATACACAATGTTTCACACCATTACCTGGAACACATATTTACACCGGTCATCATTCTTCCCTGTCTCATACACAATGTTTCACACCATTACCTGGAACACATATTTACACCGGCCATCATTCTTCCCTCTCTCATACACAAGCTTTCACACCATTACCTGGAACACATATTTACACCGGTCATCATTCTTCCCTGTCTCATACACAAGCTTTCACACCATTACCTGGAACACATATTTACACCGGTCATCATTCTTCCCTGTCTCATACACAATGCTTTCACACCATTACCTGGAACACATATTTACACCGGCCATCATTCTTCCCTCTCTCATACACAAGCTTTCACACCATTACCTGGAACACATATTTACACCGGCCATCATTCTTCCCTCTCTCATACACAAGCTTTCACACCATTACCTGGAACACATATTTACACCGGCCATCATTCTTCCCTCTCTCATACACAAGCTTTCACCATTACCTGGAACACATATTTACACCGGCCATCATTCTTCCCTCTCTCATACACAAGCTTCACACCGCTATCCGGAACACATATTTACCCCGGTCATCATTCTTCCCTGTCTCATACACAAGCTTTCACACCATTACCTGGAACACATATTTACACCGGCCATCATTCTTCCCTCTCATACACAAGCTTTCACACCATTACCTGGAACACATATTTACACCGGCCATCATTCTTCCCTCTCTCATACACAAGGTTTCACACCATTACCTGGAACACATATTTACACCGGCCATCATTCTTCCCTCTCTCATACACAAGCTTTCACACCATTACCTGGAACACATATTTACACCGGCCATCATTCTTCCCTCTCTCATACACAAGGTTTCACACCATTACCTGGAACACATATTTACACCGGCCATCATTCTTCCCTCTCTCATACACAAGCTTTCACACCATTACCTGGAACACATATTTACACCGGTCATCATTCTTCCCTGTCTCATACACAATGTTTCACACCATTTCCTGGAACACATATTTACACCGGTCATCATTCTTCCCTGTCTCATACACAAGCTTTCACACCATTACCTGGAACACATATTTACACCGGCCATCTTTCTTCCCTGTCTCATACACAAGCTTTCACACCATTACCTGGAACACATATTTACACCGGCCATCATTCTTCCCTCTCTCATACACAAGCTTTCACACCATTACCTGGAACACATATTTACACCGGTCATCATTCTTCCCT